CCCCAAAACCCCAAAACCCCAAAACCCCAAAACCCCAAAACCCCATATGAGCTCACTAGGATTGAATTCTAGATTACAAATAATTATTTTTGGCAAAAAGTCACGTTCATCTCTATATCTACTCTGAGCCTGACTCAATGATCTCTTTTAATTTAGTAAACTCCTGAAGGTGCTTTTTAGGCATCATGCTCTTGGCAAATCCAGGTACTTTCCCCTTGATAAAGATATGCATGAGGTGAATTATGGCAGTCTCAGTGTCAGAGATCTTCTTAAGCCAACAGAGATTCTCTAGCTCAGCCCTGACAGCCTTCGTTTCAGGAATAGCATCATTTTCTACACTGTATTCGATAATGGCTCTATCTCCATTCTTCAGGTCGATGATTTTACTGAAGAAGCTAAAGTCTCTAGCTTTGAAGATCAGGTTTCCTTTCATCTTTTGATATCAAAGCTCAGATGTTGAGTCGTAGGACTCAACGAGGTCTACTTTCTCAATTCTATCAGCCAGCTTGACTCTTAGCTCATAATCTTTGAGATACTCAGTCGTTGTTTCTATATTCAAAGGATAAGAGCCTCGTAGTGAAGAATAAGGGGTTAAAAGTATCTACCGGAGGTGAACCTTACCTATATTAGCATTGACCTCAGCCTCCCTTCTGAGGAAGATTTCTTCACCTGAAGTTTTGCCTAAATAGATCTGGACTCCATTTTTATTTTGCTTTAAGTCCCACTCAATGTTGTCTAAGTCTTGGGCAACTTCCAGAGCTTTCTTCCTACTGTCCTTAGTGTACGCCTTAAGATCCTTGTCCTCAGTGGTGATCTCAAAACTCTTCTTTGAAGGCAGAAGAGTTTCAAAGTCGTTGTCATCCCAAGTCTCTGTAGGGATTGTATCATTCGTCTGGATTGGCTTCTCAGCAGGAGCTTCTGTTCCTTTAGCATGCTTTTTCGACTTCTTCTGCTTTTTTTCCTTCTTAGATTTCTTTGATTTTCTGTCCTTCTTCTTAGATGAAGAAGAGGACTTAGCCTTCTTGTGGTGTTCAGTCACGTCTAGAGTAATTTCATCTTTGTTGGAGTCTCCCCCATTACAAACACTTCCCATTTAGTTTAAGATTATTAAAAAATTGTCACGTAATTCAATATATGCATTCAGAATAGGGGTTTTGGGGTTTTGGGGTTTTGGGG